ATGGAGCTTAAGATAGATGATGAAATGAAGGCATTATTTCTTTTGAGTTTATTACCAAACAGTTAAAATACTCTAGTTGTGACTGTTCTTAATGCAGCTCATGATTACAAAGTGACACTTAAGATGGTAAAAAATAGTATGCTTAATGAAGAAACAAGGTGAAAAGACGCAGACCTTGGAAATCAAGTCTAGTCACAGAAAATAAGGGTAGAAACAACGACAGAGGTTAAAACTCAAAAGATCATAGTAAGTCTAAACATAGATCGAAGCCCAAAAATAAAGTGAAATGTATTCATTATGGTAAAACAGGTCATATAACACAATATTGTAAAATCTTAAAACAAGAGTAGAAAGATGAGAAAAGTAAAAGTTCAGATGATAGTAATATTATAATAGTGAATTCAGATAGTGATTCAATTACTTTGATTTATACACATGATGATTGTAATCATATTGGTGATCTCGACATTGAGTGGATAGTTGACATAAGAGCAACATATCATTGTGTTCCTAAGAGAGAGTTGTTTATAACTTACAAAGTATGAGACTTTGGTTGCACTAAGATGGGAAACAAAAATGTGTCACAGATTGTTGAGATTGGTGATATTATTGTACAAACTAGTATAGGCTGCATGTTGATTTTGAGAGATGTCAAACACATTTCTGATATGAGAATGAACTTGCTTGCTATTAATGTCTTTGATAAAGAGGGATATGAGAATCGTCAAAAGAATAGGTAGTAAAAGATTATCAAAAGATCTATGGTAGTTGCAAGAAAAAAACTATGATGCACAATGTATAAGACATGGATACAATTGAATGGCAACTAGATAAATATCATTGAAGATGATGCTTCAACAAACTTATGATACAATAGGTTGGCACATATGAGTGAGAAGAGATTACAAGTTTTGGTAAAATAATCTCTCATTTCCTTGATCAATTATATGTCTCTTGATTTATATGATCATTATTTGTTTGGTAAACATCGTAAAATTTTTTTTGTAAAAGTTTTCAGAGAAAAAAATAGATTTGAATTGATTTATTTTGACGTATGTGATCCCATTAAGGTTGAGTCATTAGGTGATAGGAGGTATTTTTTTACTTTTATTGATGATATTTTACATAAGACTTGAGTGTATATGTTAAAAAATAAAAGCCAGATATTACAGTATTTTTAAAAATTTTATGCCACGATGGAAAGAATGATAAGGTTACCTTTGAAGTGTATTCGTACTAATAATGGTAGAGAATACACATCTAAATACTTTGAAGAGTGTTGTTCAAAGCATAGAATTAGGCATAAGATTACAGAACCTGAAACACTGTAACAAAATGGTGTAGCTGAAAGGATGAATCACATCATTGTGAAAAAAGTGAGATGTATATTGAGAATGATAAAATTACCAAAGTCATTCTGGGGTGAAACAATTAATAACATAACTTATTATTTGCTTAACAAATCACCATCAGTTTATTTGGGTGTTGACATTCCAGAAAGAGTGTGGATAGAGAAAAATGCTCCATACTCTTATTTGAAAGTTTTTGGATATAAAGCATTCATGCATGTACGAAAAGAACAGAGATTAAAGCTTGACAGTAAAGTCACACAATGTGTGTTTATAGGATATGGTAATGAAAAATTTGACTACATGATATGAGATCTAGTGAAGAGAAAGACAGTCAGAAGTAGAGATATAGTTTTTTATAAAAAAAAAAAAAACTATAATAGACCTTGAAAAAAATAATAAGATTACATAGGTTACTATTGAGTGTGATATTTTAACATCGATAGGAGTTTCATAGGAAAGAGCCACAAATAGTGAAAATGAATTTAGGGATATGAATGAGCTAATCACAGTTAGTGATGAGTTAGATGCAATCAGTTTTAAGTAAGGAAAGTAATCCTCTCAACTAGAGAGTGTTGAGTAAGGAGAGTTACCTTTGGCATTAGATGGTGTAGAGTTTCATTCTAAGAGATTTACTAGAGAGCACAGGCTATCTACCAGGTATTTAAGTTTAGATTTTATTTTACTTACCAGTGAGATGGAGTTAAAGAGCTTTCAAGATGTATAGATTACTTCGAATAAAGAACACTAGTTAAAAGTAATGAAAGAAGAGATAGAGTCATTATGAAAAATGATACTTATAATTTTATTAAACTTTCAAAAAGAAAGAGGCCATTGAAAAATAAATAGGTATTTAAGTTGAAAAAAGATGATGACAAGCTAGTGAAGTACAAAGCTCGATTTGTAGTAAAATATTTTTTTCAAAAACTAGGCAACGATTTTGATAAAATTTTCTCTCCAGTTGTAAAGATGAGTTCCATTTGAGTGGTACTAGGATTAGCAACTAGTTTAAATCTTGAGCTTAAGCAACTTGATGTCAAGATTACATTTTTGCATGGTGATTTATAAGAGGACATTTATATGAATCAATATGAGGGTTTTGAAATAAAAGGGAAAGAGCATTTAGTTTACAAATTGAAAAAAAGCTTGTATGGCTTGAAGTAAGCTCTGTGATAATGGTACAAAAAGTTTGATTCTTTTATAGTGAACACAGGTATAAAAGAATGGTAGCGAATCCTTGTGTGTATGTCAAAAATTTTTCTGATGGTAACTTCATTATTCTCTTATTATATGTTGATGATATGTTGATTATGGGACAAGATGTTGGTATGATTTGTAGGTTGAAAGAACAATTGTCTAAGTCTTTTAATATGAAAGATTTAGGTTCAACAAAGCAAATTCTCGATATAGATATTATCTGAGATAGGAGAGCTGAAAAGTTATGGTTGTCACAAGAAAAATATATTGAATGGGTGCTTAGTAGATTCAATATGCAACATGCTAAATCAGTTAGTAGTCCACTTACCAACCATTTTTATCTGAGTAAAAAATCTTGTGCGATGTCTAAGGAAGAGCAACTAGCTATGTCTAGTATTTCTTATTCTTTTACAATCTATTTTTTTAATGTATCTTATAGTTTATACATGACCTGACATTACTCATGCAGTTGGTGTAGTGAGTAAATTTCTTTCTAATCCGAGAAAGGTTCACTGGGAAGCAGTGAAATAGATTTTTAGATATTTAAGGGACACCTAAAAAATGTGCTTGAATTATAGAGCTTCACAACCAGTTCTAAAAAAATTTACTGCTATTGATATGACAAGTGATCTTGATGATAGAAAATCTACTTCAGGGTATTTGTTCACTTTTATAAGGTGAGCTGTATCTTAGCAGTCTAAGTTACAGAAGTGTGTTGTTTTGTCAACTACAAAGGCTCAGTATATTGTAGCAATCGAAGCAGGTAAATGAATGCTTTAGATGAAATGTTTTTTTCTTGAATTTGAGTTGAATTAGAAAGAGTATGTGATATTTTGTGATAGCCAGAGTGCTTTAGATTTGAGTAAGAATGTCATATACCATACTAAGACAAAGCACATTGATATTATATATCATTAGTTATGTTCAGTGATTGAGGAATAGCAGATGCTGTTGAAGAAAGTTCATACTGATGAGAATGTAACAGATATATTGACTAAGATACTTCACAAGGAAAAGCTTGAACTCTGTAGTAACTTGGTCGAAATGAGTTCTTTGCGGAAAGTAAGTTCCAAATAAAACTGTTTTGGTGATGAATCTACTCATAATAGGGCTTGAGGGGGAGATTGTTAGGAAAATGGGGTCCAGCCTCATGTAATTGGTTTTGGACCAATCAAAGGTCTTGGGCCTTGGTCTTTTTTTTTACATAAAGCCCTAACTACTTAATAAAAATAGGTGAAGTTGTTTTAAGGTGGAATCGCAAACTAAGAAGAGAAAGAAAAAAAGTAAAAAAAAAAATAATGAGAAAAAAGATAATGGAGAGTTGGTTGAACGGAAGTTGATCTGTGGTCCGATTGAACTGAACTTTGTCAGCAGGTTTATGATTCAGAGTTCTACATTTTGAAAGGCGAAGATGGGGTTTGAAGCTCTCTAGAAACAAATCCAGGGTATATTTGTTGAGTCACATATTTGGTGAGATTTCTTTAATTGTCTATCTAATTGTTGATTAGCTCTAGTTTTAACTAGAGAAGAACTTTATATATCCATTATTTGATAGTAAAGATTTTTTTGATGGTCCTAGTTTTCTTTCTACACTGGAGGATTTTTCATGTAAATCTTGGTGTGCTTTTATTTTTCTTGCGTTATTGATTATTGATTATTATCTGTTACTATGAGTTTATTGCGATATATTTTTTTTTGTGTTGTTGTGTTTATTGCTTCAGACCTAACATGTATGTATGCCTTTCCAATTAGAGAGACAGGAAACAAACAAACATTGCCAACTTGGCAACTGGCAAATATCTTTTAACAGAAGTGATCAGCAGCAAACAGGTTGGAACTAGGTTGCTCTTGTTTCCAGCAACATATATTTTCCTGCGCGTTAGTTAAGACTTACGGTAGGGTAAAAGAGCCTGCAAATCAAGGGTAACTCTATATAGTATAATCAAGGTTCAGACCATGTAAGTGGAAATAGAGTAAGGGGAACAATTGAGCAGCTCTTACAAGTTACAACTATATTTTACTTTATGCATTTGTCCGAAAAACTCATCATCCCCGTTTGATTGTTTTTGTGTTCGGAGGGAAAGGGGATTACTAAAAACAGTTTAATTTTGGATTAACGTGTTAATTTTCTGCTTTTCAATGAAGCTGTTGTAGCAAAAAGACGAGAGCGTCGAACGAATCCAATGCGTTCTCCATGATTGCAGTCCCCATCCAACATGGCACCCAATTCAACGGTCAGATTAACATAACGTGGGCCAGAACAACCCAATAGAAAGGTGACATGTTACTCAAATAGCGTCCATCTCAGCCCGTGCAAAACCCTAAAGTTAAACCAACACCAATTGTTTTTTCGTTTGATGACAGGAAAAATAAAGTGACAAGTATCACGTCAAAGTAAAAAGGGTAATGGAGTATAGGTGGAATCCCTTATTTGGCAAAGCTTCGTCTCTTTTCTTCTCTTCCTCGTATGGATAAAGGATCCCTCTCACTCAAACATTTCTTGGATTAATTTTCCTATATGTATATATATATTCATTCAAGTTTAGAGAGTTTATTGCGGAGAAATATAAAATATCCGTAGACTTGGGACTTGGGTTAGTCTTACATGCCATTGTTAGGGCTAGTTTGGAAGTCACTAGATCTCCAGTGCTAAGCTAGTAGAGTAGTTTTTTGGCCCAGTCACACCTAGGCATTGCTTGGGTAAGATGGTGTTTGGTGCGTTTGGATCCTTAAATCGCATTGAATAATCAGTCGTAGACCAAGGGTTTAAGGGTTCAGGTGAGACACCAACTAGATCCTTTATCCCAAAATATCGTATAATCAGTCTTACTACCCGTCGAAACAAAGCCTTAACAGCTCGAGGTTGGAATTTCAAACCCCAGCTCTCCTCCCCAGGGCCATAAGTTACGACAGAAAATGCTTATTTTAAGAGAACAAGACATGTAGGACAGTAGGAGAGCTATGTGATAAATGAATATGACACTTAACACTTAAAAAAATCAAGGAAAAATACAACACAAAAAACAAGTTATGAAGTGACACAGAAATGGGAGATGAAAAAAAAATATAAGCTATAGGGAGGAAGTGGGATGTAGTATTATATTATAGTAGCAGCAGATACTGATCAGTCTCCTGCTCAGAAACCTCTCCCTATCTCTTCTGTCATCCCCATTAACACTTTTGGCCGTTTTGGGCGATTCAACCCTCCACTCTCTTCACCAATACCCTTTCTCCAGGGGCATGGTAAAGCCTACCCTGCATTGTCTCTGTTTTTCTATTATTGCACCATTCCATAAACCCAACACTCTCAGTTCACACTCCATTTTGCAGTGCAATATTTTAGCTAGTTAACTAAGAAAGTTGAAAGAGCAAAAGAAAGAAATGGAAGAAATTTCAAACAGAGAAAGAAGAAGAAACAACAAAACCGTCATGGATCTTCACTCTATTAGCTCTTTAGCTCTTGTTCTGAACCTCATTGTCTTAATTGCAACCTCAAAAGGTTAAACCAAGCTTCCTCTTTTTCAGGGTTTCTCTCATTTTTAGCAAGGGATTTATAGTTTTTAACACATCAAAGTTTTAATCTTTACACTAAAAAACCCGTCATTTTTTTTATCAGGTGTATCAGGTGCTTCTTTCAAATTTGTCAACCGATGTGACTACACTGTATGGCCCGGAATATTAGCAAATGCAGGCAGTCCTACACTCGACAGCACCGGATTCGAGCTACCAAAAGACTCGTCTCGTTCGTTTCAAGCCCCAACAGGCTGGTCTGGTCGTTTCTGGGGCCGAACAGGCTGCACATTCGACGGATCCAGCTCTGGAACCTGCCTAACAGGGGACTGTGGGTCGGGTCAGATGGAATGCAACGGACTCGGAGGTGCTCCACCCGTAACTCTGGCTGAGTTCACTCTTGGAACAGGAGGGCAAGATTTTTATGACGTCAGCCTTGTTGATGGCTACAATATCCCCATGATCATTGAAGGCAGTGGCGGGTCTGGTCTTTGTGCGTCGACCGGGTGTACGACTGACTTGAACCAGCAATGCCCCTCGGAGCTCCGGGTTGGGGATGGTGATGCTTGCAAAAGCGCTTGTGAGGTGTTTGCGAGTCCCGAATACTGTTGTAGTGGCGCATACAGCACACCCTCGACGTGTAAACCGTCAGTTTATTCTGAGATGTTCAAGGCCGCATGTCCAAGATCTTACAGCTATGCGTACGATGATGCTACAAGTACTTTCACTTGTACTGGAGCAGATTATACGATAACGTTTTGTCCCTCTTCTCCCAGGTAATGTTTCACTTGCACTTTTGTCATCTGAACACTTATTGGTGAATTGCATTAGTATGTTTTTGATGAGGTATGCTGATTTAAATGTAAATTGATTTGTTTGTCTTGGATTTCATTTCATAGATGAATCTGACAAGAAATTGTATATTTACCGAAGAGTAATTGATAGTTTGTTCCTGATATCTTATTGCAGTCAAAAATCTTCGAGAGATGCTATACCAGTTGCAGAAGCTACCCCAACGACAGGCTCAACATCACAAGGATCAGGATCAGAATCTGAGTTAACTTATTCGGGTAATGGTTATGGATATTCTGGTCCAGCGTATTCAAGTTCTGGTTATGGATACTATGGAACTGAGTACTCAGGTTCAGGTTTTAACTCTGAAGTCGGATCTGGACAAACCGGGTGGACAGATGGGTCATGGTTAGCTGGTTTGGCCATGGGAGATTCACCAAGAACAGCTTATCCCTATATTCTACAATCTGTACTCATGGCATTAACTGCTGCCTCTCTCTTGTTTTCATTTCTTTACTTGTAGCACATCTCTATCTCTGTATGATGGCTTTTGGTATTTTTGTTAATGTGAATTCTTTACAGAATTGCAGCTTTGATGGGTAAATTGGGTTTGGTTTTTGTTTGAAAAGCTGGCAGATTCATGGTCCAGTTTGTAAACCATCAGCTTCAAGATTCCCCCTTAAAATTTCAATGTACTATAAATTAAAAGGTCTTGTTTCACTCGAAGGTTATTGTGAAGTTAAAGCAGCCCATCAAAATCTAGAGGAATTGCTTGATTTTGGTCTAGCATTTTTGGTTTTATCTTCTGTTATCTTGCTTTATCGGTTTTGGTTCTTTGTTTCTTTTGGCTAATTGGATTGTAAAAACGAGAGATCTTCCTTAAAAGCTTGTTTGTAATGTAATTATATGATGAGAATTTTGGCCGTTGTATGCGAAGGACGCCAAATATCAAGTTTTCAGCTCAGTTTTTTCCGTTGTCTGCCATGGATTTGGAAGAGTATTGCTTCATGATATCTCTTCGTTCGGTGGAAATGGAATCAATAGTTGTAAATTATACTGAAACGTTAGTTGAGTACTAAAGAGACTATGACAAAATAACCAAATGGGGCCTTAATAAAGTCAGAATAAAGTTAAGTAGTGGGATTATTTACCCTTGAAAATTTGCCAAAAGAAAGGCCCTTTACTGAATTGGGATGAGCCAACTTCTAAAAGGTGGTTTCAAAAAATGTTTCCACCTCGAGTAAATGTTGGACCATCTTAGCTAGGATAATGATTACATAATGTCATCTTATGTAATCCTGACAAATCACAACAGTAAACAGCTGAAATTCTGTTGTTGTTATATTAGGATTAACATTTGAACGGTTTATTTGGCTTAAAGAAACTGAATCCCTGAAGCCTCAGTTACCATCCAACAGATTGGTCGAGAATGTATTGTTTCTACTTGTAACTATAAAGAAGCAGTACGAGGCAAATGGACCCGTAATCATCACCTCATGTAACGAGATCGCCTGTTAAAGACTAGTTCCTCTAGAATGAAAATGTTGCCTTCATAATTTCTTAATAATGGAGATGCATAATCATGAAGATTTTGTTGCTTGTTTATATGACTGTTTCATTCAGAGTTTGTATCTTCAAAGCTGGAAATGTGAGAAAGTTTAACCATGGATTATAATTGTATTTTCCAGAAATAACAACCTTTAATTTATAGCAAAAACAATGAAGAATGAAATAGCAATGTTGGGATTCAACTTCCATTGCAACATGTTTCAATAGAAGCGTAAATAATGCTGTAAGAATCCTGTAATGGCTTGGAATGAAAGCTGAGACAATAAAAATTATCTTAACATAATGTCACAAAGCAACCACTGATTACTCTTGAGAATAATTCTCAAGCTGAAGAAAAAAACGTGTAATAGGAAAAACTAAATTATTTCTATCGCGGGTCCTACCCACTAACATTCTTCATCATGACCCATAATTGAACTGATTGTGTTATCCTGTCAAGTCTCTCTCTCTCTCTCTCTCTCTTTTAAATTTTTATGTGATTATGAATTTATGATATTGTTCTTGTAGCGGCCATTCATGATACCAGAAGGTTAAAAAAAAAGCAGTTTAGTTTATCAGTATGGACATATCCTAGAGAATCTTATCTAACTGATTGCAGTAGTTGATTGAAGAAGTAGAACTGTAGATGGGTTAATGGAGTTTGGAAAGAAGCCAGCGGGAATTTGTTTGAAGGTTCCTTAAAGGCCATCGGATGAATCTGCTTTTAATGTAAACTGTAACAGGTAAGAGTGATTTTCAAGAGGACACAATATATGATGGAAGCCACCTGCTGAAGACTTCTTTGAAGAACATATTCTGTTTGTAGTGCTTGCTGATTGAACTCATTGAAGGGACGTAATCCAACCATTAAATTGTCAGAAAACAAAGAACGAAGCAAAGCTGGAACAAAAATACTGGCCCGTACTACCGGATTAGAATATTTGAAGTAGAATACCTCTACGACATTGGCCTCGAGCCTTGACGAACAGGGGCTAATCGAAAGTAAACTATCAAACCGAGGGTGCCCCATTTAGATTTTGTGACATGGGCCGCTGTCAACAACCATCCCCGTAGTGCTAGTGCTTAATATCTAGGGAGAACAAACCGATTGGATAATACAGCACTGGCTTATTGGACCTCAGGGCTTGAGCCTAATATCTATGGGATTGGGCTATCAAAAACTCCTTTCTATACGGTACTAGTCCACTGGGTCAGAGACCCAGGTGACCTTGGTAAACTAGTTTATGTTTGCCCTTGATCATGGCGTTACAATTGAATGCTAAAGTGTCTAGTTTCATCACTACGCCAGAGTGAGAAAGTAGAATTTGCTGTTCTGTTTCCGTAGGAGGCATATACTTTGTATTCACCTAAGAATCCATAAAAGCTGTATGAACCATGCTCATCTGTCTGCCCCTTAATCTCCCCAGTTTGCCATTCTTTCAAGAGATTGTCAACCACATCCCCAGCTGGGAGATTGTTAAAATTTTGATCTGTTAGACACATTTCGTAACATCCATTAGGATGGAGAGCGGTCCAAAGCATTATCCCATTCACTGAAGGATGTGAAAAGCCTTCTCTTAATACCTGTTCCAGGTAAATGGCCTGTTAAAGGAAACACAATGGATAACATCAAAATTGTGCCCTTGATGTAATGCCTAAAATGTGAATTCTTTCCCTTGATAATGTTTATAACATCAATGAGAATTCTATTTGCTCACCTGTAATTCTTTACCAACCGAACTGCTAATATCTACTTCTGTAAGCCATATGGGGAGTCCAAGCGTGGCCAATTTGTCTAGCACAGCTCTCATTAGAGGAGCGTTTGGTGTCGTAAAATGACTCTCCAAGCCAATTCCATCCATGTACATGCCGCCCTGTTTAAGATCTCTTATCCTTTCAATGTAGCTGTCAACCGTTGATTTAACATCACTGCAGGTTTCCACCACATTAAATTCATTCATGAACAGGGTTGCTAATGGGTCTGATTGATGTGCAGTCTCATAGAAATGCAAGGTTGCATCAGATCCAAGTCGCTTCTCATAAAAATCAAAATGGAGCATCTCATTGCTAACATCCCAGTGTATGAATTCTTCTTTGTATTTGCTCATTAAGCTTTGTATCCTGGAGTTGACTGCTGCTTGTAGCTCAGGACCTGTTAGGTTCCGAACCCATTCTGGCGTGTATTTAGGGTCTTCCCAGAATATGTTGTGGCCTCTGGCTATTATTTGGTGGGCTCTAACAAACTCCAACATGTGGTCCGCTATGGTGTAGTTTGTCTTTCCTTGATGAGGTTCTGTTGCATACCATTTAAGTTCATTTTCAAATACTGCTGCGTTGAATCGCTCAACAAACCAATTCTGGGAGATAGAATGAAAACAAGATCAATTAGCTACCATTGTAGTGGAAGGGCATAATTGATATTTACCCCCTAGCATTAAAATTCAAATATAGTTGGTGAAGATGTGCTTTAATACATACCTGATAAGGCAAATTGCCCAGAATGGTGCGTGCTATTGCAGAACCAAATGGAAAATCTTTTGAGACTTGATTTACAGTTATTGCTGCTCCTTGCAATCTATTTCCTTGTTGGTCTGAGACATGTATTGTTACAGCTCGCTTCCTTTGCTGGAAAAAGTTGAGGCAGGCAGCTCATTTTAATGTTGTTATAATTTATAAATGCAATTATGCAAACACTAAGCCTGCTTTTATCTAAGCCTTATTAAAGATTTTGCTGTTGTCTTAACAAATTTTGTTAAGATTAGATATTTCCATTGTTGCCAAATCATTTCACAAAGTCCAAATCTCACAACCAACTGGAAAGAGAACCTTAAGAATATTCAGAATAGAATTATGAACTGAGAGAAGAGTGTGACCAGTAATTACGGTGTTAATTATGTATTGCTGGTTGATTCTCCATTCCTGATCGGTAAATGACTTTAATGAGGCACTGGCAATTTCTATATTGATATCCTCATCATCTGAATCCTGCATATCAAGAACACAAGGAAAAGGCCTTAGAAGAAAATTCAACCAAAGCATTTCTAGAATTCTACTCATGAGCTGATGCTCAATTTTTTCACTTACTAAAAGCCCGAATAGAAAAAAATATGCCTAAGCAACATAGTGTGGTGAAAACATATTCACCTGGAATAGTAGTAAAGATAAATTTGAAGGTGAATCAAGAATGAATCCACCCTTGAGAAATGACCAGCATCCACTCTGAGCCAAAACAGTCCCTACACAATCGTATGTTCTGGTTTCTGTCTTCAAGCTTGCCCTAATGAGAGCTGAATTTGCACCTTGTATTCTGATCCAAGCTGTTAAGCACCAAGATAATAAGCCACTTCTGTATCTCCTATAAATGTTTTAAATAATATCTAAAGTTTCAATTTATGTGTTGTTCAAGGACAAGAAGTTTTGAATTTTTTGTCAATGCCAAAAATTCAATTGCCTCTACAATGGGGATGGTTCTAAGCTGGGGTCAGACCTAGTATTCCATCAGGATTCCTTTTCAAGCATGGACGGTACATTGCTTTGATTAGTGTAATGTTGAATGAATTGTCGGTTATCACTTATGTTCCAAAAATCCAAACCTTAAATAATGCCACTTGTTGGGGACATGGTTGATACTTAGATATAACACAAAGTCACTAACAGATACATTGACACATAAGACCATATAAAAAGCAACAAAGAAACAGAAGTGAAAGAGGAGAAGTGGAGAACCTAACTGGAGAAACAGTAAATGTTGCCCTGAGTAAGATTCTTCAATACAAAAGCTGGCGTGTAAAAACCAGTTGCAGTATCGCCAATAATGCTTGGTCTCATAACTGGAGGCTCATCTTTCAGCATCCCTCCCAGGTATAGTGGCTTCTCTGGTTCTGCTTTACACTGCAAATAATTTGGACAGCCCATTTAACCATAGTCAATAGATAATAGTCTCTTTCAACAAACAATTTCAACATATCCAATTTTTACCTCTGTGTAAGCAGTAAAATCATATAAAGGCCCATCTGCAGCAATAAAAGAACCCACAAATTTAAGTTTTCTGAAAGAATATCCTTTAGAATTGAACAGTCAAACCAATGAGAGAAAGGGGGAAAGAACCATATGAAGCAGCCAAGGAACCGCTTAGAAGAAAGAAGAAAGCCAATAAGCCACCAAAAATAAGAGAATATTTCATGTTTCTGCGTTGGAGTGTGTAAAACATACTGCTACTGGAAAAGCATTAACACAATATTATATGAACAAAATGCTGAAGCTTATATTATATACGATATAGAAAATTATTCTCTTCAATGCAATCTACAGAATGATGAAGATTTCAGAAGAGGGAGAGAAAGAGGGAGTGCAATTAAGGCTTGTGGTGGGGGTCACTTGGAAACAGTAGCAGGCCTGTGAACCCCCGTGCCCTGCTCACATGTTATACTTATAAGAATGTGGTTCATGTGATGTGAACCTTATCGGAAAACAGCTCATTCCTTTGGTGATTAATTGATTATTAACTTGTCTTTGCTGCCAAATGACCATTTGTAGTTGTACAGGCTTAGACTCAACGTTATATAATGTGTCCAGTGGGAAATTTATTCTGTCATTTGGCTTTACCGACCCTTGCTTAAATCTTTAGTCTCTCTTGCTTTTAATGGAGGCCTGGATTGTTGCAAGGTGCTAAGTGATGAGTCTAAGTATTTTTTATCTAAGATTTGGTTGGCTGCAAACAAATTTCAAACTCCGGTCTTCGTCAGCAAATTGAAAACGGGCTGCAGATGCACCGTGCAACTCTGTGGATGATATTTCCTGTCGTTTAACTAAAATTATGGATATTGGGGGTTTGAACTTCTTTAACAACTACTAAGATTAATTCAGGGAGAATCCAAATCAGTTGGCTAAATTTAGTCTTTGGGTGGCTCTTTGCAGTTTAGATTTAGTAGATGCCTTAATATTTTTGTCTGATTATGGAGACCACAGTTTCAAGGAAAGTGACTTGGAAGTAGGTGTGGAAAGTGACTTATAAGGAGGATGGTGATCAATGCGTAGCCTGCTGTAGTTGTAGCTTTTAAGTGTAGTCCTCCATTGTCCGACAAGTGATTCTTGGAGGCTTCATGGCTTGAACTTGCAGGCGTGCGTGGTATAGGGACCGTGCATTTACATGCTCAAAGTCAATGAAATTGAATGCCCCTTCCTCTCTGGAACCTGAAGCATCCCAAGCCTGGAGCATCCCAAGAGGGAAATGAAAATTGGAAAGAGAAGGGAAAAGATAATGAAGTAGGAATGTTTGATTGTTGAAGTTTTCCTTTGACTGTATCCGTATCTCGTGTTCTGTACAATATAAAATATTAAAATTTATATATTTATATTTTACATAAAAATTATATATCATATCTACATAAAAATATAAAAATATTTTTTTATTTTATTAAATTTAAATATAATTATTACAAAAATTTTAAATCATATTATTTTTATATTTTATATTTATATCATATTATTACATCATATTTTAAATTATCATATCTATTTTCACCGGCCAAAAAACTCGGCCCAGGCCTATCAGTAAATGAGACTGGGCTCATCCCGGTTCTCCTTCTCCATCTTCCACGTGCCCCACCTGCTTGGCCCTGATGGATTATACTTTATACAATAATACACCCGGATACAGACTAAAATTTCTCTTTATCCATTGTCAATCTCATAAATTAAACCGTAGTATTAAGCTTTGATTAATAAAATAAAACTCGGTGCACAAACTCTTCAGTCTTATTCAGAGCATAGGCGACTGAGTCTGAGAGTGATATTGTCAGAGAAAAAGATAAAAAAACCCGGGATTCCTGTGTTCTGTCTTTGTAATTCAAATGGAAAGTCAAATGAAGATTTATTGTTAATAATTTAGGGAGAAAATTTAACAAACGAAAAGATGCGTCGGGAGATCTCGATTTTGGTACAGCCTCGGTGCCTTCTTCTCTTCATTGTTCTCGCAATTTTCGTCATTTTCGCTTTCTCAGGAACTAAACTGGTGGGCTTTTTGATTCTTCTTCTTCCATTCTAAATACCCATCTCTAGGATATGCGTAAATCTGTAGTCTTTGGATCTGAATGTCGATTATTTTATTTGTTTCTTGCATTTTGTACGGTAAAACTGATTTGGGTTTTCAGTTTTACTCTGATGAAATTGGTTGGTTTCGTTTCATTTTGATTTTTCTGATCTGTCTTTAATTTCTGGATTTTCTTGGAAATGGTTGTTTCTGGGATATTCTCAGCATGAAAGATGTAATATGGATTTTCTGAAGTGTACTATGACAATCTGAGCATTTGCTTGTTTCCAAATTTGAACTTTTAAGTAAAAGGATTTTATTTTGGTTAAGACAAGTATGAGGTTGCAATTTCCATTGATGTTTATTTAGTATTTGCTTCTCTCTTCCAGTGTAGATAGGTTAACGCAACAACAATTTGTTTTAATTGATTCTTCCTAAATTATTGCTTAGGAGGAAGAGAAGACTGTAGAAGAGGAGCATGAAATCACCCACAGAGTATACTTGGATGTTGATATTGATGGCCAGCGTGTAGGTACAAGACCTTCTTTTTCCTACATGATCAGTGATGAGAAGAAATCTTACTTGCCACTTTTTAGCTTACGGTGCTATAATTTGTGTTCTGCAGGTAGAATCATTATTGGATTGTATGGTGAAGTTGTACCCAAAACTGTTGGTATGTTTTAATCTTTTGAGTCAATAGTTTTAGGATGTGTTTGGTACACAAGATTATGATAGGATAGGATAAAATGATATTATGAATAAGATTAAATTAAATAATGTCATCTTATCTTGTGTATGATGTGTGTAAGGATTAGGATAGGATAATTTATTTATTGGTCGAATTTGTCTTTTCTCAAAGTTTATATAATTTAAATTATTGATGTAACTTTTAAGGGTATAATAGGACTGTAAGTTTAATCCCATGGATTAAAAATAATCCTTTTCACTTGGTGAGGATTGCATCATCCTATACCAAGAGAATGATTAACATAGGATGATTATCATCCTATCTTATCCATTATCATCATCCTATGCACCAAACATGACCTTAGTTCCTTAGGAACATAATCTCTTGAAACCATTGGCACATTAGCAATTTACAAGCCACTCTCAACCTTGTCATATGTCGTGTATGAGAGAAGCTTACCTTTTCAGTTAATTCAGATGTATTAATTTTCTTTCTCCAAAATTCCATTTTATAATGTACTGTAGCTTGTTCAATTCATTGTTGTAAATTTGGGTTTTATACATACACAGACAACACAGACACACATATATATATATATGTTGCTTTTTGCCTAATGCTGTTGTTTGTTGTTTGCAGAAAATTTCAGGGCTTTGTGTACAGGTGCTTAAGTCTTATCTTCTTGTTCGTTTTGTACTTGTAAAAATTTCAATTCCAAGTATTATTTGTAGGCAGTATAAATTTTTACAGTAAATATGCTTAAGTTTTTGCTTTCAAACTGCAGGAAAGAAAGGCAAGGGTGCAAATGGGAAAGCCCTTCGTTATAAGGGAACACCATTCCATCGGATAGTATCTGGATTCGTGATTCAAGGTGGTGATATAATTCATGGTGATGGAAGGGGAAGTGAGTCTATATATGGTGGCACTTTCCCTGACGAGAACTTTAAGATAAAACATTCACATGCAGGTATCTTATGTGTATTAGTTTAACTGTCTATGTCATTTCAGTTAGATATGACTCAATGTTTAATTGTCAAATTTTCTTCAAATATTCAGTTTTTTCTCCCTTAATATTTTATTGCAGGTGTAGTTTCCATGGCTAATACAGGACATGATTCCAATGGCTCTCAGTTTTTTATCACCACTGTCAAGGCCAGCTGGTAAGCTGTGTAATGTAATGGCATGTTGAAATGTAGCTGAGGCATGAAGTATTGGTCTGTAAAACTAAAAACTTAGGGTGTCGAGACCTATATATTTCGACCTCCTGGATATGTCATGCCTATTCTATGTTTTTAATCATCTAACAAAGCTGGCTATCTCAAATGCAAGTATTAATATGTTCTTTAGCTATTCGCATCATCTGGCCAATTCATGTGAAAAGCATTGCCTATGAAAGATTGGTAACCGATACGAGATAGAACATCTCAAATTCCTTTTCTACTCTTTTCGCATTATGACTCAAAACTTACAATCGAATGATCTTTTCAGGTTGGATGGAGAGCACGTTGTTTTTGGTAAGGTTATTCAGGGCATGGACATTGTTTATATGATCGAAGGTGGAGCTGGGACTTACAGTGGGAAACCTAGAAAGAAGGTTACAATTGCTGACTCTGGAGAGATACCAAAGAGCAAATGGGATGAGGAAAAATGAAGCTCCTGGCTATATTATCAACAGAGAAAATTTTTGTGTTTTGACTTTACTGACTTATTTCCATATAATGGATTCATATTTTGCTCCCTTGTATCATTTTCTTCGTGAACTTCTAGCTCCAATCAGATCCAAGACCAAGAGTCATCGGCTTCACTTGAAAATATTGTAGCTCACCCTTTTCATATTGGCAACAGTAATTAATGCAAAGAATTTCAATTAATCCCTTTGAAATGGGAGTGTTTCCATTCTATTTCCATGCATCTACCCAATTTCAGCAACCCCATAGCCACTCATCTTCTTCTCCAGCTCTCAGTTTAGTTTCACTGCAACAAACTGTTAAAAAAAAAAAAAAAGAAACCCAAGATGTTAAAAAAAAAAAAAAGGTGAAAAAGTAAAATTAACAAAAAATAAATATGCTAAAGTTCTCTCCATACTGACGTTTTCTTTCTCCATCGCTCTCTCTGTTTGACTCCTCGTGGCGATGGGCAATCCAGAAGAAGAAACCACCAACTCCAAACCCATATCTCCATACGACGCCGCTTTACCAACTGAACCTCTCCTCTTCAAACCCTCGACCAGCTCCACCTACCCATCTCCTCCAACCGAAGAACCAGCTCAACCAGACCCCGGCCAATTCCTCCAGATCTCTTTCAGTTACGGACCCAGACCTTTCAAAGACCTTCCTTTCCTCATCCTCTTCCTTCTCTTAGTTCTCTGCACTTTCGCTTTCGGTATTTTCTCAATCTTCCATCGAAACGCCAACTACTCTAACGTTTCAAGCTTCTCTTACTATTCTAATTCCACTTCTTGCGTTCAAGACACTTCCTTTCTGTCGAATTCAAATTGGGTTTTTGGAAGTTCGCTTTTTTTGTCTTCTAGGTCCAGTCTTTGGACAAACTTAATATGGACCCTTGTCATAACTTTAATTTTAAGTGTACCCATTTGTTTTCTTTTGCTTTTTTTCCTCAAACATTACACAAAGCAGATCGTTTATGTTTCGCTTCCTTTCTTTATAATCATGCCGGTTTTCTTTGATGTTTATTGGTTCGTTGCTTGTACTTTGAGCTCTTCTTGTAGTGATTCTTTCCCTTTGGTTTATAGAATTTTAGTGCTTGTTTTTGTTCTATTGATAGTTGGGATTATTGTATGGATCATTGTGGTTAATTGGCATCGGATCGAGTTGACTGTGATGATTATTGGTGTTGCTTCTGATGCGCTTTCAAGGAATTTAGGATTGTTTTTGGCGATACCACTGTTGACCGTTGGATTGGTGGTTTATTACGCGCCAATTGTTGTGTTCTTGGTGTTTGCTAGGTTTAATGGGAAAATTGTGGCTAAAGAATCGAATGGGGAGTATACTTGTGTTTGGAAACAAGATAGCTGGGTGCCTGCTTATTATACATTGGCGATTTTGACAATGTTGTGGTCTTTGACTACAATGGTGGAAGCTCAGGTTTATGTGATCAGTGGCACCATTGCACAGTGGTACTTCTCCAAGGATGAAAAGAAACCTAAGCGGAGTATAAGAAGTTCTTTGAGGTGACTTCCTACTGTTTTCAATTTTTCTACACAATGATTCATGCATTTTATTGTGAGGGTACCTGAAACTATGCTTGAATTGTATTTTTTTTTTTTGGGGGGGGGAGGGGGGGGTTTATGTGTGTGTGTGTGTGTGTGTGCGCGCGCGCGTGTCTTTGTGTTTCTGATTGGCTGCTTTGGAGGCGTGCTTGAAGTATGAATACCAGATTATATTGATTAATTATCAAAGATTGTGATATTGGTTATCAGCTTAGGATAATAGTAATGGTACATCGTTGATAACATAGATTTAGACGTGGTTTTTAGCTGCATGGATGTGTTAGAACTATTAAAGTGTTTGTACTTGAGTGTTCAAGATTACTATCCTGGTAATTCACTGTGGTTTGGATTTATGGATTCAGCTTGACGTTGTTTTTATATTTACTAGTATGGACTGAAGAATGTAATGAAGATCTGATGTGTAACAAGCTCTTAGAGAGCGCATTCCTCCACTGGTTTTCCTTTGTTATGTTTTCTGGTGTCCATCTTCTACCTTTGTATATAATAAAATTCATTTTGTTCGTTTGCACATCTCTGTCATGCGTTAGATTGGCATGAAAAAGGAGCAACATCTCTAGTTTCTGTGCTGAAGTTGCCATGTCATAAGACAGCATGTTAACTTCTCTTATAGAATGATCGAATTGCCTTAAATTAGGTCATTTTTGGTTGAGATTTAGTCAGCATATTAGCTTATTGTCTATTAGGCAGCATATTAACTTCTTGAATCATATCCTTGCCTGATTTAACAAGAATTATATGTTGATAGATGATTTATGAAGGATATGTTAATGAAAAATCTGCAATAGTGAAACTCCAACCAGACATCCTTTTAAAGCATCACTGAAGTCTCTTGCTTCTAAACACTTGCAGAAATGCATTTGGTCCTTCCTCTGGCACCGTCTGTCTATCTGGACTACTTATTTGTGCAGTTCGATTGGTGCGTGCTGCTGTTGAGAGTGCAAGTCAAGAAGATGCTCCTGGGATAGTGAATCTTGTCCTGCGGTGTTGTGTTAGTGCCCTACTATCCACAATTGACTTTGTTAACAAATTCACCATCAACCTTGCAGCAATAACTGGTGAGGCTTACTGCACATCTGCAAGAATGACATATGAGCTTCTAAAGCGTAACCTACTCTCTGCTGTTTTTGTGGAGACTGTATCAACTCGTTTGTTAGGAGGAGTTATTTTTGTCCTCTCAGCAGTTTACGCGATTGTGGTGAATCTCTCGTCACTAAATAAAACAATTTGCTGAGCTTCTTTTCCATTTTCCTCTTCTTATGTTTGAACTGCTGGTATGTATATGCAGGTATGTGCTATCTTAAAGGGTGTTAGTGATCTAGGGGTTAAAGAATACATCGTCGCCGCCATCGCATGGGTGCTGCTACTCATAGTTCTGGGTTTCTTTGTCCATGTGTTGGACAATGTGATCGACACTGTTTATGTCTGCTATGCAATCGATAGAGACAGAGGAGAAGTGTACAAGCAGGAGGTTCATGAGGTTTATGTTCATTTACCAACCAGTAGGAACAACAGATCATCATTCCCTTCTAGAACTCTAGGTGTATAGAGATGTCCCTGTAAGTTTGTAACTTAAAAATAATGTGTCTTTGTTGATTTATCATTTGATTTTGTACCAGGTTGTTGACTGCCTATTGGCAAATTGTGTATGGAGATTTTTAATGAAAAAACCTTTTTGTTGTTTATTTTTACTTGTATTTCACTTTTTTTTTTAATTTATACAAAAGTGGCTTGATAAAATTGGCTACTAAATTTAGATAATCATTATTCTATAAAAGGAATTAAAATATTATATTTTTTTAATTATTTTTTTATATATTTTAAAAAATATGTATCTTTTATTTTTTTTTTTTTGTGAAATCTAAAAATTTCAACATTAGATAATATAATAATATATCATCTAATTAGTACCAAAGTTTGATTTTTTGGGGGTGCTTTAAAATTTTTAATTAGATAAAATTTAATACACTTTTGATATTGATATTAACCTTGAAAAATATTTTAGATTTATTTGAAAAGATTAATCTTATATTTTTTATTGAACATCTTTAAATAATTATAGCTTAAAAACAATTCAAATTTATTTTGCTATGAAAATAAAAAATTTTGCATTATGTGTATTAAAAAAAAAAAAAACACTCTCTTCCTTAATTTTGCAAATAAACCGACTTTAGTATGATAAAAGAAATAAAGCAACAAACGAAGGAGGGGCATATTGGTAAAAGCGAAAAGTTAAAGTCCCCGCTCTATAAGTATCCCAACAATTATCAGGGATAAAGACATAAAATCTTGTGTTTTGCTTTCGACTGGTTTCCTTCTCTTCCAAGAATTTCGAAACCATGGTTCTCGAGGTAAGCAATGCAAAAAGATTCCTCCTTTATCTCTCTCTTCAATCATCAGTTTTTTTACTCTTTGAATCTTTTAGTTTCCCCAATTAGGGTTTATGGGTTTTCAATTTTAATCGAATCACTTTTTTTTTCTTTTCAAATCAATCAATCAGGCGACTATGATATGCATTGATAACTCGGAATGGATGCGAAATGGCGATTATTCTCCGTCTCGATTTCAAGCCCAAGCTGACGCCGTTAGTCTTATCTGTGGAGCTAAAACGCAGGTAAAATTGCATTTTTACCTTAATGTATTCGGTTAATCTTGTTTATTTATGTATGTAATTACGCTAGGGTTTTTCTTTGGCTCAATGAGAATTTGGGAAATTGATTTTTTTAATGAATTAATGACAGGCTAATCCGGAGAACACGGTCGGAATTTTGACTATGGCGGGCAAAGGAGTACGTGTATTGGCTACTCCTACCAGTGATCTCGGAAAATCTTGTCTTGCATGCAAGGTACTTTCAATTTACCTATTTTCTTTCTTTCTTTCTTTATTTTTAAATTAATTTCTTTTGTGTCATGTTCGGAGATTAAGATTATTTAAGCTAGGATTACGTAAGTTAAATATAGATTCTTTGAACTAGTTGTAGCAATAGACCTCCTATGGTGAAAGAATTCCGTGTGCTTGTCTTTTGATTTAGTTATACAAGTTGGATTTTTATGTGGTTTGTTTTTACTATGTTGTTGTTTCAATTTACACTTTTTTTTTTAGTTGTGGTCTTTGGGAAATTTGACACATGTGTTAAAGAAAATTTAATTAAATGTTTTGGCTTGCTAGTCGGATCATATGAGTTTATAACCCTGGCAATTTTTACTATGACCTGTTTAAGCATGCATTTCTGAAGTGAGATGCATGTTTTCGAACCTCTGTAAAAGAAGAGCATCATTTTCTCTTACTTTAGAAATGGAGGGCTTGTACTTGGTGATGGAGTTCAGCAGTTACATTTAGTTTAGTTTGTCATTTTATGCAAAAGCACCATATGATTAATGATTAATCTCTAATATTTTGTTAAGTATTTCAGAATTGAAGGTCGTCCTCCTTCCCTCTATCATTCTCCCCATCATCATCACCTTTTTTTTTCTTCTATATGTATTTTTTTAATATTTTACACAGGTCTTGAAATGGGGGGTGAGGTGAACCTAGCAGCAGGAATTCAGATTGCTCAGTTGGCTCTGAAGCATCGCCAAAACAAAAATCAGCAGCAAAGGATTATAGTTTTTGCTGGAAGGTATATTGTTTTGGCCTTCAATTTGCTTGTTTACTTCAATAGAGATATAACTTTTTTTTCTTGTATGCTTTATGATTTCAGTCCTATTAAGTACGAAAAGAAGGCATTGGAGATGATAGGAAAGAAGTTGAAAAAGAATAGCGTAGCTCTTGATATTGTCGATTTTGGTGAAGATGAAGATGGAAAGCCAGAAAAGTTGGAGGCTCTTCTTTTATCTGTTAATAATAATGACACTAGTCACATAGTTCATGTTCCTTCTGGTCAAAGTGCACTTTCTGATGTGCTTATCAGGTTTTACTTAGCTCCTCCTTCTGATGCTTTGTTTTCCTTAAGTGTTTGGTTTCTTGAGGAAAAAAATTTGAGTAAGAAGCTTTCGGCTCATGTCTCTTGGGCTATAGTGCCTACATAATAGTGATTGTGCAAATGATATAAGTTTTTATTCCCATGCCAGCACACCTGTGTTCACTGGGGATGGGGAAGGAGGAAGTGGTTTTGCTGCTGCTGCTGCTGCAGCGGCTGCAGCTGGTGGCATTTCTGAATTTGATTTTGGCGTGGATCCAAATATAGATCCAGAGCTGGCTCTTGCCCTAAGGGTTTCCATGGAAGAGGAGAGAGCAAGGCAAGAAGCTGCTGCCAAGAGGGCTGCTGAGGAAACCACTAGACAAGAAAAAGGAGAGGAAGTGGAACCACAGTCCAATTCACAGAATGAAACTATGACTGCAACTGACAAAGTTGTTGATCCAATGGTTGGTATTACTTTGAAGTCAATATATTTTACCATTCTGCAAATTACCATCTTCTGACTTTGGATAGTACAACATAAGTTTCAAATTAGCTTTGGCTAACTGATGTTGTGGCAGGATGAGGATGATGCTTTGCTAAAGGAGGCCCTTGCATTATCAATGAATATCCCAGGAGCTGATTCTTCTGTGGCTGATGCTGAGATGTCTGAGGCAACTAGTGGTGATCAGGATTTGGCCTTGGGTATGTCCTGTTATTTTGTTGGTTGTCTTAACATATTAGGGTGTATACCGCATCAAAATAACTTGATCACCTTTTCTTTTCTAAGGAGAAAATGGTCTAATAATTCTTTTGTTTCTGAAGAATTACAAAATGCTTCCCTAGATTCTGTTTCACATAGATGGTTCAAGTGAGTGCAGCATCTATATTATTCTCTGGCCAGTCCACAATTTTTATATCTTGCTAAATCCTACCAATCAGATCTCATCAAAGAACTAAACCTACTAGGTTTAGTTCATAAGTTTAACGCAATCTTGTAGCTTTAATGTAAGGGTAATAGTTATATATGCCTTTCTGTTTGCAGCTATCTTAATGTATATACAGTTGAGAGTCTGGATTATTCTTTATATTGGTTTGCAGTGGATTTTTAACTAGTTTAAGATGCTTGACTCCGAAAGTCCTACTTGTAGATATATAAATGTAGCCAAGTTCATGCATCAATATCATCCACTTATAAACTAAATACAAAATGGTGTCGTTTCTTGCATGCAGCACTTCAGATGTCCATGCAGGACAGTTCAAAAGATTCATCTGCACAGTCGGATGTCAGCAAGGTGTTGGGAGATGAGTCTTTTATGTCATCCATCCTTTCATCAGTAAGTGTAGTAATTTTTTGGTAAATATCAGTAAGTCTAGTTGAATTTGAGTTTTTTAAACAATAAATCAGTTTCTGATTTGTTTGCCTGCATTGTGATGTGTTACGGTTTTTGCAGCTTCCAGGAGTTGACCCAAATGATCCAAATGTGAAAGATTTGCTAGCATCTTTGCCAGGCCAATCTGAGGTGTGATTCATTAAACTTAGCATAACCTAACATGAACTTCAAACTCAATTTTCTGTTCATGGTGATGTGTTTTCTACTACTTGCTCATTAAATGTTCATCTATTAGTAATTGCAGAATGAATATCTTGCCTTTTCTTAAATTTTACTTCCCCCCCCCCCCCCTCAAAAAAAAATAAAAAAAGGAAACTGCTTGGAGCTAAAACTTTCTGCTTTGTGGTAGTGACTTTTTAGATTGGTACTGTAGTAGTTACTGATCTGTTATTGTAATTTGTACTCGCTACTAGTCACAAGAAAAGAAGAATGAAGATGAGCAGCCAAAAGATGACAAGTGAAGATCTACTAGACTGCTGATGAAGGCAAGACATAAAATTGCGGAATCCTAATCTACCTTCCTATAGTGTTTGATGTGTCAGCCGGTTTCTAACCGAGTAAAGATTTCTGTTTATCCTGGCAACAAGACAGACATTAGAGGAGTTTGTCAAAACTGTACTGCAGACTCAGTTGAACATTTTCTCTTTTCTGTTAGAAGATCCATCATTTATATGCGACTATGGGATTAAGGTGGTGTTAACATTCATGTCTCAATTTCATTTGCTGCGAAGGGAAAAGCATGATTTATTGGTGTTTGACATGCCTTTTTATAGCTTTAAACTTGCGAAGAATGGATTTTGCATCCCTCAAAATCTGTAGGGCCCAAACTTGAGCGTCAGAACCCCGAGTGATATATAACTCTAGTCGCTGCTCCATCTTAGTTTTCATTACATGTGTAGTTTTTCATTAAAAGAAAACGAGCTTAGTTCGAGAGGCAAGCCCAACAGTTGTTCAAGCAAAAATAGAAAAGCCCAACAAAATGGTTCGTGACATATTTGTTTTTAGCTCCAGCTGAAAGTTGCCCGTTGGCTTGTTCATGAGACGAACAGAAGGAGCTCCATGGGATAATACAAGAAGAGCTGCCTACACCTCCTCCACGTATCAGAATTTGGTTTGTAGTAGTAATTAGTTAAGAGCAAGACATGGATGTTAATCATTCTGGATCAGGTCCAAACTCTCAAAAAATTTCCTAGAAAAGATTGATACCTAAACGATCTTGTTAATGCGTAGTCATCATCTGTGACTCCTTTGAGATTAGTCTAGTCCTCTAAGCTGGGCCAGCATTTCTTTTTAAAGAGTGGCTATAAATCAAAGCAGCCAGACAAGCATTTTCCTGACTAGTTTGAGACTTACTAAGCTGCATCATCAAACGGGAGTACTTCCATTAAGAAGAAGCTAGTCACTAAAGGCGAGATTCATGGGGTCGAACCACCCCAAAAAAATTCATTCCATAAAACCCAACCACTAACAGCTAGCCATCACACCCCATACACGTTTAATTAGACGTTGATTCACGTTAGAAAAGGTGGTCCTTCAGACACAGACCCACCCACATGAGAGTTATGTCTTCCCATCCACATCCATTTCTTCCTTGGCAAAAAATTCTTCTAGATGTTATTATTTCTACTACATCAAAATTCGTATCAATCATCTTTATCTCTTATCAATAGAAAACCCATTGAAAACAACACTATTTTATGAAAAATGATTGGTGGGTTGTTCCCCAGTCACCCACGCATTCTTTAGACAAGTTTGTGGAAGAACTCGAGCCTAGGGACATGAAATCTTGGAAGGGAAAAATCTTTTTTTGAATATAAAAACAACGAAATGATCACAAACCAGGTTGAGGCAAGGGGCAGAGAGAAACTGCTCAGATTAGCAGTGATTTGGATCATGGATTCATTTATATCAAAAGAAAGCCTTTTTTACATTAACTTTGTCTTTATTCTTCACTCTGGTTTTTTCTTCTCCTTTGCTTTCAAGCGAAGAACCCTTTTGAGGAAAACAAAGACGGAGAGATTGGGATACGTGGGTGTGCAATCAGAGATGGGACCACTCTATTTTTTCACTTGGGTTATGTTTTTCATTTATAGCTAGATTTTTCTCAGTTTATAATCATCAAAATCTAAGAAAATTCTCTTGAAACCCAAAAGAACATGCATTGTCAATATAAACAAAAGCAACTTTTGCAATCTCCCTTCTTTATTTCCCAGTATCCATACGTTGAATTGGTACACCCTTTATATTTTGATGATTGATAAATGGTGCATCAACATGCTCTTTGCAGATATAAGTGTATGTTCATAAATGATGGTTAATGCCATTGTCAGGTATATGTGTATGTTCATAAATGATGGTTAATTGACAAACTTAAACACTTCATTAAAAGTTGAACTGTCATTTTTTTTTTTTTTTGTCTTGGGGTCCTAGTTTTTAATACTTCAATAATGCTGAATTATTTCATGGGTCATTGGTGAATCAATTTAGGAACAGGGCATGGGGTAAATTGAACCTGAAACAGTTTTGTTTTCAACTTTGAAAAGAATCTGAAATGGAAAAAAAAAAAATGTCAATATTGTTTATTCAACTTAATACAAAATTATAAGAAATTTAATATTTAACAGATGATATGACACCCATGACAAATTCAGAAAGAATATAAGGCAAGAATCACGGAACAAAATTTGAGCTTTAATATTATACTAAACATACAATTTAAAATCAATTAGATATAAATAAAAAAGATTCAATTTAAATATAAAATTATAAAAAATTTTAAAATTTGATAAATGTGAGACAATATTATTTTTATTTAAAGGATAACTCAACTATTTTAGATGATTGAGAATAAATATAATTATTAAACAGTTTAATTTTAGCAAAGTTTTTCAATATAATGATAACCGAAAATGATTTACTTAATTGAAAACTTGTTTAATTTTAGCAATTAACACGTACATTACTAAAGGTTCATTTAAATAAATGATAAGATTAATTTCGATGAGATTAAAAATAATAATTATTATTATTATAATTATAATTAAAAAAATATTATAGTTATGATTAAAAAATTTTCATAAAAAATTTTTTAAATAAATTTCATTAAAATTAATATTTAAATTCAATTAATAATCTAATAGGCTTAACAGCATGAAATCCAGTCCCCATTAAAGAAATTATTCATCCTTGTATTGCCTTTCTAGATGCAACACCAAAATTGGCCAGACGATATCTATGAGACAAGAAGGGCAATTTGGTCACAAAGATGTTCACTCTACAGTGCAAAGAACAAACTAGTGCAGATTAAGTTGTAATTATAAATGAACTTTAGTGGCATTTCCAAACCTATTTCTTTATATAAAGACTTTTGCCACTCAATTTTCAGCAACGACAAAAGAAAATTGGGCTTACTCAAGCAAATTCAACAACAATGGCAATGGCTTTCAAGATGGTATATCCCTTTTTCTTTTTCATTTTTTTATTAATTTTATTTTACTTTAATTATATGTGATTCAGTGTTTTTGGGTGTACGATTGATACTATAGGCTACAACTGGGATGTGGGTCGCTGATGAGTGCAAGAACTCGTTCATGGAGATGAAATGGAAGAAAGTTCATAGATATATAGTGTTCAAGATCGATGAGGCATCAAGGCTGGTGACCGTCGATAAGGTCGGCGGCCCCGGCGAAAGCTACGATGATCTAGCTGCATCCTTGCCCACCGATGATTGCCGATATGCTGTGTTTGATTTTGATTTTGTCACCGTTGATAATTGCCGGAAAAGCAAGATCTTCTTCATCGCATGGTCCGTCCCTCTTTCTATTTCCTTACTAAATTATTGTTACATATTTTTATATTTAAGACCGTCAAAAATTGAATTTTATTATTAAAATTAAAATTTTTTATTTTATCAATAATCATTAAAATTTAGATCGTAAAGTACTACACGAACCGATCATTTTGTCCTTTCTGACTTGGAACTTTATTATATAAACTAGGGTAACATGAATAATAATTAGCATATTATTAATTTTCTCTAGTGAGTATTAAATAATAGCAAAATAATTGAGATTTTTATTAGTATTTTTGGGGGGGCAGGATAAAAAAAAATGGTAGATTTAAATTTCATAAATTGGAGTCTAAGCATCTCTATGCTTTAGGAATATATTTTATTTCTAATAATTCATATAATTATTTTAAAAATAATATTTAACAAATTTGGAATAATTTGATAAAGAAAATAGAGATTTGGTAGCTTAGTGTCTATATGCAAGTGAGATAGCTCACCTTTCATTAGACACTTCACCTTTTATTTTGTTTGATTTTCTTTTAGTAATCCTAAGTTAGGGTTAATAAAATTGATGTTACTTTTATTAATTTTGGATTTTAGGTCTCCAACAGCATCAAGAATTAGAGCAAAAATGCTGTATGCAACATCCAAAGATGGGCTGAGGAGAGTGCTAGATGGCATCCACTATGAAGTTCAAGCAACAGACCCAACCGAGATGGGGATTGATGTGATTAAGGACAAAGCCAATTAGGATTAGCTATATAAATCATGTTTATGAGCATCTTACTTTTATTTAATAACTCCGATAACATGTGCTTTCTTTTTTCTCTTTTTTAGTTTTTTTGAGCACTAATGGAAGTTAATCTTCTAATTTGTAATAATATTTTGATGTTCCATGTTTGCTAATTTGAGGACAAAGCACCCATCAGTTCCACCTTTTTCTTCAACCTTTTTTATCATGGAGAAGGTAAAAAAGATGGAATTTTTTTGGTTTTTTTTTTTTAATAAAACACCTAATCCCTCAATGGGGTTTTTGGTTTTCCTCCATTTTCACTTTCACTAATAAAATACTAACTAAATTAACCTGCAAGAATCGCTTGTTGGGAAATCAAGTCCTAAGCTGACCTGATCCCTGGTAGCAAACTTGTTCATTTATGGGGAGAATGATCCTTGTTCAGCTCTTTGATCCGACTTTTCCATCTTTCACTTTCTATTTTCAAAGTTTAGCTCAGTTGATTCTTGTAAACATTTTAAGAAACAGCATCCAACAGATTTATTATTTAAATCATAGCATTTGAAAAGCTTTCTTTCATCCCAAGTTGCGACCATCATAAACAATCACTGCTTCCCTGCAAGATTTGCCAGATACTAGAAAATGTTTCTTACACAAGCGTAAGAAACATCAGCTTTTATGCTGATAGGTAAGGGTAACCCTCTGTGCTTGATTATGAGCATGCTCTTCTGTCCAAGAGGAAAAAGCTGGAGAATTAAAGCACTGTAGTGCTAAAAGAAAGATGGCAAAGACGTGAGAAAATGAAATAATTTTAGGTATCAAAAGTGAGTTTTTTGTTTGGTAGACCCCCAATTACCTAGCTCATGATGGATTGTATTGGTGACTGGTCCTGATAGATAATGCTTCCAAGTCTCCCCTGCCCTGACTAGGAAACTAAGAATTTAACAGAGATTGGCAAAATATCCAAAAAAAAAAAAATGATATTTACAGGTAGCAGTATTCATATACTCACTGGACATGAATCGAGGCATCTAGCTCTAACAAGTAATGGCTGATAACTGTATTTTTGAGTTGTCTTCAATCAGATTTTCAAAAAGTAGTAACTAAAATTTGCAGACAGATTATTAAATATGAAGATTCAATCCACACAAAAGCTAGAAATTAAGTCATATTTTTCATTCACAGTTGGAGAATGGAGAGCTACACATGCACAAAACTTTTCAGATTTCAATATTATTACATCCATTTAAAAGATGCGTGAAGAACTCATTGTTCATGGAAAGTAAGTTTGCTCAAATGGGAAACAAAAACTATTTGACTTCTGAGGTTGCAGCAGCAGAAACATCCTAATCTTTCAAAGAATAGATAGGTTATCAATTCCCTGAAGATGGAAATGGATGTCATCGGCCACAATTACCAGAAATAATCATAGTTTGGCACAGAACTCCTGATGTTCTCCTTTCCTGTCTGTTTGCCTTTTTGTCTCATCAAACTTACCATGATCAAGCTGTTAGGTAACCCTTGATTTTGGCTACGAATCATGGATAAAGTTTGTAAATTCAATGATAGAGCATCTTTTCCCTTGCTTTAGTTTCACTGATGATGCTTATAATTAACCTCTAATGCTTCAATTAGAGCACCATTATAGGGTAATCCTTTTGCGATCATATGCTCCATTTCATGTTTCTGTTGCCATAATTGTACATAATTATTATATATAACTATGATTATTCTAAGAAGTTATGGGTTAAGGGCTTCTAAGAATATTGACTTTTTACAGATGATGCCTAAATTTGTTTGGCTAAAATTGGCATTGCTCAATCAAAAACATGATTTGTTTATAAGCAGACACCAGCAACCATCTTTAATTATAGTCGTTCCAGGCTCCAGCCAGACCATATAAGAAACCGAACCCAGTTGAAGCTAAGCAACACATAGAACCTTAAGGACCCGACTATCAAGCTGAACTTGTCTATCCATTATATTGGGCCTTAAGTTTCTTTCTTTTTCATTGCAAATCTTTCCAAATTTCAGGATTTCTTTTTAAAATTTTTAATCTACTTTTAATTAACCTCGTCTTCTATCTACTTTATAAACAATATTGTTGATAATTATGTTAAATGCATTCAAATCTAACTATACAAAAACACAGTTTCACACAATACATGAAACAACTAGTAACTAGAAAACCCTTCTAGGGTTTGACTAGAGAGATTAGTTATAGGCTGCCAAAAAAGAATCATTTCCAACATGAAAAAGGAGCAATGTCTCCTTTAAACTGTGTCTGTGATGTGTAAATTGTAATCCCATTATAAACTGTGGTACTATCTCTCAAGGGGGGCCCAGGACAAGAGGTTATAATAATATGGCGCTTGAACGTCGGCCCTATTTTCATGTCTTCCATCCCTGGGGCTTCTGCTCGCATGTGATCTGCTACAGCCTGAATGGACATCCCAACAAACAAATCTCTGCTTTTCAGCATCAACAGACAACACCTTTTGCCCCAAGTAAATTCCATTTCCACCTTTTGGTTTAAAAAAAATCAGAGGTGATGATGACCTTTTAGAAATGAGGAAAGATATTCTTGAAAGCATCTTCGAAACCCCAAACAACAAGCTCTCGTAGCTCAGTTGGTTAGAGCACCCGTTTAGTAAGCGGGAGGTCTTGAGTTCGACTCTCAACGAGAGCAACCCTTTGGATTTTTTTCCTTTATTTTTTTATTAAATTTTACAACCTTAATTGTCAAATGATGAGTCAGATACCTTTACAGCGCCGAATCGCCAACAACAGACACTTTATACAGCTCACAAAATCAGATGATGTCAGCTCAAAGCAGGAGAACAGTGGGACCCGCTTGTTGATTATCAAAATGATCACATGTTCACTGATGCAGAGGGAATCTAATCTACGCCGTCCATTCTGACGAATTTTGTGGGCCAGTCAAAGGATGGCCTGCATGTTTTATGTTAGAAATATCAACCGTTGGATACTTTTTTCGAATGTTGCCAATTTATCTTATCTACCTACATTTCCTAAAACAGAAGCTCTCCAGTTTATCTTGTCTGTGTCATGTCTCATGTTCCCCCACTGATGGTTAACAAACATAGGCTCACAGATTTAATTAGCTATGCTCTTCACGCGCCCATTGGCCACGTACAAAACAATTTCTCGTTAATATTTTTTTTACTTAAATTGTTTTTAATTATGATAAAAAAAATTTGTACTTCGGCTTTAGAGCTTTAAAACTAGATTTGCATTGTAATTTGTAAGGATTTGAATTAGGTATTTATATTTTTATAAAAAAATAATAATTTTAAAAATTAAATCATAAATTTATTGAATATTATAAATTTTAAAATTTAACTTAGTTTCCTTTAACCTTATGTATACAAAATCCTTTGGTATTCGTCAATTGCTTGACTGAATTCAAATACATATTGCCTATGTCGGTTGAGAGTTGATATTTGCATGAATTTTTTTTTTCCAATGAGACATAATCAGTTTGGTATGCCTCTCATAAAATGTGTATTCAAATTCATGCACTGATTAAATGCAGGGATTTTTTTTAATTAAATTAAATTAATATTTTATAATTAAAAATAAATTATATTTTATAATTAAAAATAAAAATAAATAAAAATTTTCACTATTTTATGGTAACGGAAATGGTGATTTGGGTTGTTAAACGCGCTTAGGTCTGCTTTTTGGTTTATTTTGGGGTTGGAGAATTAAAAGCCTGCCCCGTTGCAGTTTTATAGGCAGTCGGGGAATTATTAGATTCTAATCATATTATTATCCGTCCGATCAAGCATCAGGGGTGACACCCCACTAATCCAATGGTTATAATTAAAAGTCATGTGCCTTAAACGGTGAAGATTATTTTGTCACATTATAATTTAAGCATAATCACTGACCTACCCCATTCCTTTCCTAGAAATAATAGAAAGCGACTCGCAGCATTCCCACAACCGTCGCCTTTTTTTTTTTTTTCCAACATAACCGTCGCTAAATCTCAAATCTCTTTTAAACAGTGAAACGAAGTCGTTTTATCCTGAACTTAAGGATTAATTGATGGTTGAGATAATAATAAAAAAAGAAAAAGACAATAACTAGTGATCTTCATTATATCAGTCTATCTCTGTCGGTAAGCGAACACTCAGACTCACTTCGCTCTTTTCAGTTCTGTGTCTTTCAATGGCTACATTTCTCTCCAGTTTTCTTCCTTTACTGGTTCTTTTGTTCATTTCCTCGATTTTTCCTAAATCGTTTTCCACTGATTCAACGGTTAAAACCTTCATCTTTCGTGTTGATTCTCAATCAAAGCCGTCCATTTTCCCCACTCACTATCACTGGTACACTTCCGAGTTCGCCGAGCCAACTCGAATCCTCCATATATATGACACGGTTTTCCATGGCTTCTCCGCCTCTTTAACTGAAACCCATGCTGCTTCCCTCAGTAACCACCCTTCAATGCTTGCTGTTTTTGAAGACCACCGCCGGGAACTTCATACAACTCGCTCCCCTCAGTTCCTGGGGCTACGAAACCAACACGGACTTTGGTCGGACTCTGATTACGGATCCGATGTCATAATAGGAGTATTCGACACCGGAGTCTGGCCCGAACGACGTAGCTTCTCAGACACGAATCTTGGACCGGTTCCGGCTAGGTGGAAAGGAGTTTGCCAAACCGGAACCAAATTTGCTGCTGAAAGCTGTAACCGCAAATTAATCGGAGCGAGATTCTTCTCTAAAGGTCATGAAGCTGCGGCGGGACCGGGTGGTCCGATTACCGGCATCAACGAAACGATCGAATTCATGTCGCCGAGAGATGCTGACGGTCACGGGACTCACACCGCCTCTACCGCTGCCGGAAGACATGCATTTCGCGCCAGCATGGAAGGTTACGCCGCCGGAATCGCAAAAGGCGTGGCCCCGAAAGCGAGACTGGCAGTTTACAAAGTTTGTTGGAAGAATTCAGGTTGTTTCGATTCCGACATTTTAGCCGCTTTCGATGCCGCCGTTAACGATGGCGTCGACGTAATTTCGATTTCCATTGGGGGCGGAGACGGAATCTCTTCTCCTTATTATCTCGACCCGATCGCAATCGGAGCATACGGTGCGGTTTCGCGAGGGATATTTGTGTCATCTTCGGCTGGAAACGATGGGCCTAATTTAATGTCGGTTACCAATCTTGCTCCTTGGTTGGTTACCGTTGGAGCGGGAACAATCGATCGGAATTTCCCTGCTGAAGTCATCATTGGTGATGGGAGGAGGTTAAACGGCGTGTCGTTGTACTCTGGCGAGCAGTTAAAAGGAAAGATGTATCCGTTGGTTTATCCTGGAAAATCAGGGGTACTCTCGGCTGCTTTATGTATGGAGAATTTGCTTGATCCTAACGTTGTTAAGGGAAAAATCGTGATTTGTGATCGAGGGAGTAGTCCAAGAGTGGCTAAAGGTTTGGTTGTGAAGAAAGCTGGAGGAGTCGGCATGATTCTTGCTAACGGTGTTTCAAATGGCGAAGGATTGGTCGGTGATGCTCATCTTTTACCCGCTTGTGCTCTTGGGTCAGACGAAGGAGATGTGGTCAAATCATATGTTTCATCATCAGCAAATCCAACGGCCACCATTGATGTTAAGGGTACTGTCATTGGTATCAAGCCTGCGCCTGTTGTGGCATCGTTTTCTGGGAGAGGACCCAATGGGTTGAACGCTGAAATTCTTAAGCCGGATTTGATTGCTCCTGGGGTTAACATTTTGGCTGCTTGGACTGACGCTGTTGGCCCCACCGGGTTAGACTCTGATCAACGGAAAACAGAGTTTAATATTCTATCAGGAACCTCAATGGCTTGCCCTCATGTTAGTGGTGCTGCGGCTTTGCTTAAATCTGCACACCCTGATTGGAGTCCAGCGGCAATTCGATCCGCTATGATGACTACTGCAAGTATAACCGATAATAAATTTCAGCCAATGATTGATGAAGCAACTGGGAAGCGGTCGACTCCTTATGATTTTGGTGCTGGGCATCTAAATCTTGGCCGTGCATTGGATCCGGGACTTATTTATGATATTACTAACAATGATTATGAAAACTTCTTGTGTGGTATTGGTTATAATCCGAAGTTAGTACAAGTTGTTACGCGATCGTCGGTAGTTTGTCCAATGAAGAAGCCATTGCCTGAGAGTCTTAACTACCCTTCAATTGCTGCATTGTTTTCAACCACATCAAGGGGTCCAACAAGCAAGACGTTCATTAGGACCGTGACTAATGTTGGTCAAGCAAATGCGGTTTACATTGCGAAGATAGAGGCACCCAAAGGGGTGACAGTGACAGTGAAGCCGGTGAAGCTGGTGTTCACGCCAGCGCTGAAGAAGATGAGCTTTTTCGTGACCATAACAGCAGATAGCAAGCACCTGGTGCTTGATGATGTAGGAGCTGTTTTCGGCTCACTGACTTGGATAGATGGGATCAAGCATGTGGTGAGGAGCCCCATTGTAGTTAGTCAACTCGATCCCTTGTAAACTAGTAACCTTGGGATTCGATCAATGTAGGTTTTGATCGACGAAAGAGTGAACTGCACTTTGTTCCTTTCTGTGTGTTTTTTTTCTTCTTTGGCAGTGGTAGGATTAGGAGGAAGGGCGTTTCAAAAACTGGATTTGAGGTTGGTTTAGTGTGAGTTTTCCTCTATATTTTCTTCGTTATCTCTTTCTTAATCGTGTATTTATAAACTTGAGAAGTTTATATATACAGAATAGTGCTAAGAAATTATCATACAGAAATCTTTACAACTGTGGAGCAAATATATTTTTATTATCGCATTCGGAGAGGATGAAGATAGCTGGGCTGATTGATCTTGCTTGTAAATTATAAATGTTGAGGAGATCACTTGTGGGGTCAATAAGGCGACTCATTGGTGCTGTCAATTTCATGCAGTACCGACCATGTGAACTGCTGGATCGCCATTCTCGCAGGAAACATAGCTTTGTCAATTCTGGATCTTTTTCATGGTGTGGGGTCTTGGTTAGCGATTCACTCGATAACGAGTAATTAATTGTGGTTTGAATTTTATCACTTGTGCCTTGCTCAGCTGATGACTGTTCTTGGTTTGGCTCCTGGTGGCTCTAAAGCTACGAACTTATAGTAGTTGAAAAGGTTGTCACAAGTGATCAGCCTTCTATTCTTAAAAAAAACTTCCGGTAGTAGTTTTATTTGAATCTATTATATTAAAGTGCTCTTTTTTTTTTAATCAAACCATTTGATTAATTCAATTAAAATAACTATAGACATTCCTATTATGAAACACATTAGCAATATGAAAAGAACCTTAGTGTATAACATTTTTCTTGGTATCTTCAACGGATATATTAAGTAATATCAGAATATTCATGGGATTGAATCTAAATATTCCCGTCAGCATGAATGTTTTATATTTTTTTACATTTGAAATTATAAAAAATGGAATCTTAATTATTAAAGTTAAAAGCGTAATCCTTAACTAACAGTTTATGCGACAGCTGAATTAGGACCAAAGAATTGCATGGGCTTAAGTTTCTGATTAAATTTAGCCATTAAAATAAAGAAGATAAACTAGCCGTTTGGAATCTTGATTTTGTGTCGTTTAAACCAAACTGCCTCTTTACCCCAAAAAATTTGTCTTCCACTCATGGGCCATGGCTTTCGGCCATTGCCATTCTTCTTTGGAAGCTCAACAAGGTGTCTGCATTTCTTTCCTGGAGTTTCTTGAACAAGCATTGGACACTTTGGTCAAAGTGAACCAACCAGCCACCGCCCTTTAATTTCTATTCAGACAGGATAAGGTGAAAAGCACAAAAGATAAAGAAATTAAAGATGAAAACGAGTAACCCTTTTTCTCTTTTGCTAGAAGACAGTTTTTATCATTTTATCATTAATTTTCTTTTGGGTTGTGCTTGGTTTCATTGACAAGGAGTAGAAATTACACAAACCTCCATAGATTTCCATGATCTTTGCTTTCAATCTAATTTTTCTGTAAGCTAATCCCATATACACCCTAACTTTATCCTTTAAAATTGATAGAGGAAACTGGAGAGGGTCCTATATATATAACTTCTATTTCTTTGTATGATCAGGCAGAAGATGGTGGGCTATAATCTTTCAAGGTGGAGGGTGACATTTCAAGTAAGCACTCAAAAGAAACAAACTTGGTGGGTCGAGCACATTAAATTTGTGCTCACCCAAGTCGCTGTTCTGCCATGTTGGAGACCTCTTATGGTCGGCCTTCAGTACCATGAAATAATGTTTATGGACAACTTGATTTGTGTGGGTAAAATTGCCAGGTTCTATACAAAAGACAAAGTCCAATCTGTTAAATTGTCGGGACACTTGTTTTTTTCTTTTCCCATTGATGGAATAGAAAGGCAGAACAGCCACGAATTGGGGCAATTTCCAAACTCGTGTTTGGCCGAGGGTCCTATGCTAAAAATAGAGAGCTCGTGAGGAAAGGATTTGCTTGCCAGTCTCAGCTTTTGTTTTTTACTCGAACATTGGATAAGGATGGTGAATTTCAGCAAATTTTACTCACAATAAGTGAATATCTTCGTCAACAATTAACTAGAGTTAATAGATTTAATTGGCTAAAACTAGAAAACAAAGATTTTTGTGTAGCATTATAATTAATAGAAAGACCCAAAGATTGCAAGCACATGAAAAGGAGGATTCTTGCTTTCGACATGATCTTTACCTAATACAGCCTGCTCTAAAGCAGATTTATTACTTTTTAATCAAGGTCTTGAGGAGGTTATTATATTGTATTTTCAATTAAAAAAAAAAGGCTAGCAAAGCCTTTGGACAAACAGCATTTTACGACAACCTTTGGACTTATTTGAATTTCAACTTATTCGAATTGAGTGTGCATTTGAAGTGGATGCCACTAGAGATCCTATTAATCGAATTTAAATCATTATAGTATTAAGTTTAAGTTTGAATTTGATTTAAAATTTAAGGTTCGAAATAATGTTCGAACTCGATTAAGTTTTATTTTTTTAATTTGAGTTCAATTCAAAATAAAAGTCGAGATAATCGAACTTACTCGATTAATATATAAAAATAAATTTAATTTTTATATTCAATAAAAATTTGATTATTTGTATTCAAATTTGGGTTCAAATTTAAAATATTTTATTAATTAAAATAATAAAAATATAAAAACTTGATTAGTCAAGTTATTCGAACTTGAACTTGACTCAATAATAATTGAGTCGAATTCGAGTTTATTCATTAAAATAATAAAAATTTTTATTAATTAATATTTTACTTAATATTTTATTAATTAAAATAATTAAAATATATTAAAATATAAAAATTTGATTAGTTGAACTACTCGAGCTCGAATTCGACTCGATAATAATCAAGTTAAATTCGAATTTTTTTCAAGTCGAATTTAAATAATTTGTGAGTACTAATGTATCATTTATATCTCTAAATACCACTCACTTAGATGTAATGATATTATTTTTTTTACTAAAAAATCCTTTATTATTTACTTCAAAATAGATAATCATAACTTAGATTTTTTTTTGTGCAAAAATAAATCGTATTATGAAAGAAAACAATTGCAAGTGTTAATTTAAATTTTAAATTTATTAGACATTATCTCTTAAAAGTGATAAAAATGATTGAATTAATAAATTGCACAAAGACAAGTTTACTTAGAATGCTTTTTTTAACTTGCAACGGTACGATGATTAGACAAATACTTAACTATTTACTACATAGTGGGATTTCAATAACGTGACTCAACTGTATGTAACATTAATGAATGATTAACAGAAGGAAAAAAAAAAAAGGAAGCCATTTGACATTGTACATGTGAATGTTATTCGTATGTTATGGTTTGGAGGCTGAACATGTGTTTGTTAGTGGCTGGCTCAAGAAACCAGGAGTCGCAGCATTTCCTTAGCCTCGTAGCACAACGAGAAACGACTGCTTCGAGATAGAGATGGTGAGGTACGATTGCTGTGTATTCTTAACCTATGTACCAATTTCGTTACAAATAATTTGGCAACTCCGAAAACCGTGCCAACATATGCCTCCTTTGCAGGTTTTTGGGCTAACTGGACCTGAATTTGAACGAAGAATAGGCTGAATAGCTGCTAAGTCAATGAGAAATGGAGCTGATAGAAGAATGATGGAAAAAGTAGAAGATGGAATAAGAAGAGTAAAGGTCGGGTAACTTCCTTCTATAGGAAAAAGTTTACTGAGCTGGAGGAACTTGAAGAACAAGATACCAGCAGCCCGAACGTAGTTCCAGTTGGCTGCCAGAGAATCCGATACCCTCATGCTTCAAATTCTTGCTAAACAAAGTACCAATGTGGGCAGAAGCAGAAAGAACATGATTTACCACATTATATATAGGACATATAGCATTAATGAGAGGGTTCAACAAGTGGAGAGGAAGTAACTGGAAGGGCTTCGAACACTCTAGCTAGGCATGCGAGATTCGTGTGGATGGGGTGAGATTGACTTGCCGGCTGCCAAAGATTTTGGTGCAATGGCGCCCCATTTTTGACTTAAAGGAGATGTGAAAGAAAGTGAATCCGAGGCATCTCCACAATCTAATATACCAGACATGGGATTAACCAAAGCTTCCATGTCCCACCTATAAAAGGGTTTTGGAAGCAAAAGGTATACTTTAGTCAATGTGTTGCCTATAATCCTGGTTCAATTTATCACCTGCTATTGCCCAGAGTTTTTGCCGAAGGGCAATTCCTTTACACAGGTTATCACAAGGTCAATCCCATCACAGGAGAAGCTGAAAGAAAACCAAGTTGAACAGAGAAAAATTGAGAGTTGTGATGAGCATTGGCAGGTTCAATTACAGGAAAGTAAATTTCCAAGATTTTTTTTGCAGATAAGATTCGTATTATAGTGGTTTGAGTAAGCCATGACTGCTATATATGGAAAAAGAAGCAGATTGGATTTGTTTCTGGAGGACTGCCCAACTCTGAAGATGAAAAAGATAGGCATTTCCTGGCAGCGATTTAATGATACATTTATATTGGTGCATCAACAACCAATTAAAATGTCCACTATCCAGCCTTACAGCTTAACCCTGTCAAGTGCAGATCTATGCTTGTTCACAGAAAAAATGAACAAGGAGAAAAATGATGAACAAGTGGAAAAATAAAAGGAAAGAGAAGCATATATATACATTTATTTTACCCAAAATAAAGTTCATGATATTACAACATTTGATACCTGTATAAAATGCTAAAGAAATTTTTTAAAATGTTTAAAGATTCAAGCAATCGAGGTCATACTGATCTGTAAAGGTCATCAGTAGGTAATTGCTTATACTGACCTGTCTGTTAGTCTAGTTCAAGTTGACATGTGCTTCTAGACAAGACTTGAAATTTCTTTTCCTTGCCATTGGTTCTGCAGATTCCAGAACTATCCACTGCTGACTTAAGCTTTAGTTGCTATGTAGTATAAGATCATCATCATCATTATTGTTAAATTGATGACAAGAAGACTTCCTCTGTAAATGTATTCTATAACAAACTCTAGGTTTCTGCCAAAGTTTTTTGGGAATGCCACCAAAACATCCTTGTAATCTGTCCATGCAGCCAGAGCTTTGCAGCTGCATCTCACTTCAATTAACGAGTATAATTGGAACATCAGAAAATTTTCTCACACATGGCAAATAATGTTTGGTAAGTATTCTTCCTGGGCATTTTATTCATACCCATTTATAATAGCATCCTAAAAGACCCATGTCCTTGAAGACAGAGTAGGCAAGGTCCATATATGAGACAACAACCCTAAAAGTGTTCTCAAACCCACAACTGTTGAATGTATGAAGTTTTACAGTTTTTGAAGGCTATAATTATTAATTATACCAAAACATCCATTGAATACATGCTATTTCTACATTCCTACTGTACTGACTTGTAAATTCTTGGGCTCTCGTGACTCTTAGTAACTAGTTTTGAATGGCTTGTAAGTCTTGAGATACAGAACAACTCCAGCTACAGAGCCAACTGCAGCAGCCACTGTGACAATGAAACAAGCCATGCTAATTATTTGGGGGGCTAGCCACCTGCTTGTTCCTCGTCTAATCTTCTTGTGAGATATATACATCTCAACAGGGAAATAAACAGTTAATGGCCAGAACCCCATAGCCCTCAAGGAATCCGACAACATCATTGAAAAATGGCATAAGCATAGCTATAGGAGTCGCCGTCAC